ATAGGGTCACTTGGCAGATATGGATTGACACCCGTCCTCGTAGAGACCATAATACACACCGACACGAGCAGAATAGAGACTGCCCCTACATAGGTCACTTGGCAGTATATGGATTGACACCTGTCCTAAGGATTCCTGATACACACTGACACAGAGCAGAATAGAGACTGTTCCTCCTACATAGTCACTTGGCAGATATATGGATTGACACTCGTCCTCAGAGATCATGATACACACTGACACAGAGCAGAATAGAGACTGCTACTCCCCTACATAGGGTCACTTGGCAGATATGGATTGACACTCGTCCTCAGAGAATATGATACACACTGACACAGAGCAGAATAGGGACTGTTCCTCCTACATAGGGTCACTTGGCAGATATAGATTGACACCTGTCCTCAGAGACCATGATACACACAGACACAGAGCAGAATAGAGACTGTTCCCCCTACATAGGGTCACTTGGCAGATATGGATTGACACCTGTCCTCAGAGATCATGATACACACTGACACAGAGCAGAATAAAGACTGTTCCCCCTACATAGGGTCACTTGGCAGATATGGATTGACACCTGTCCTCAGAGCCCCTGATACACACTGACACAGAGCAGAATAGAGACTGTTCCTCCCACATAGGGTCACTTGGCAGATATGGATTGACACCTGTCCTCAGAGACCATGATACACACTGACACAGAGCAGAATAGAGACTGTTCTCATACATAGGGTCACTTGGCAGATATGGATTGACACCTGTCCTCAGAGATCATGATACACACTGACACAGAGCAGAATAGAGACTGTTACCCCTACATAGGGTCACTTGGCAGATATGGATTGACACCTGTCCTCAGAGCCCCTGATACACACTGACACAGAGCAGAATAGAGACTGTTCCTCCTACATAGGCTCACTTGGCATATATGGATTGACACCTGTCCTCAGAGACCATGATACACACTGACACAAAGCAGAATAGAGACTGTGCCTCCTACATAGGGTCACTTGGCAGATATGGATTGACACCTGTCCTCAGAGACCATGATACACACTGACACAGAGCAGAATAGAGACTGTTCTCCTACATAGGGTCACTTGGCAGATATGGATTGACACCTGTCCTCAGAGATCATGATACACACCGACACAGAGCAGAATAGAGACTGTTTCCCCTACATAGGGTCACTTGGCAGATATGGATTGACACCTGTCCTCAGAGACCATGGTACACACTGACACAGAGCAGAATAGAGACTGTTCTCCTACATAGGGTCACTTGGCAGATATGGATTGACACCTGTCCTCAGAGACCATGATACACACAGACACAGAGCAGAATAGAGACTGTTCCCCCTACATAGGGTCACTTGGCAGATATGGATTGACACCTGGCCTCAGAGCCCCTGATACACATAGACACAGAGCAGAATAGAGACTGTTCCTCCTACATAGGGTCACTTGGCAGATATGGATTGACACCTGTCCTCAGAGACCATGATACACACTGACACAGAGCAGAATAGAGACTGTTCCTCCTACATATGGTCACTTGGCAGATATGGATTGACACCTGTCCTCAGAGACCATGATACACACTGACACAGAGCAGAATAAAGACTGTTCGCCCTACATAGGGTCACTTGGCAGATATGGATTGACACCTGTCCTAAGGATCCCTGATACACACTGACACAGAGCAGAATAGGGACTGTTCCTCCTACCTACGGTCACTTGGCAGATATGGATTGACACCTGTCCTCAGAGACCATGATACACACTGACACAGAGCAGAAGAGACACTGTTCCCCCTACATAGGGTCACTTGGCAGATATGGATTGACACCTGTCCTAAGGATTCCTGATACACACTGACACAGAGCAGAATAGAGACTGTTCCTCCTACATAGGGTCACTTGGCATATATGGATTGACACCTGTCCTCAGAGACCATGACACACACTGACACAAAGCAGAATAGAGACTGTGCCTCCTACATAGGGTCACTTGGCAGATATGGATTGACACCTGTCCTCAGAGACCATGATACACACTGACACAGAGCAGAATAGAGACTGTTCTCCTGCCATAGGGTCACTTGGCTATATGGATTGACACCTGTCCTCAGAGACCATGATACACACTGACACAAAGAATAGAGACTGTTCCTCCTACATAGGTCACTTACAGATATGGAATGACACCTGTCCTCAGAGACCATGATACACACTGACACAGAGCAGAATAGAGACTGTCTCCACATAGGGTCACTTGGCAGATATGGATTGACACCCGTCCTCAGAGCCCCTGATACACACTGACACAGAGCAGAATAGAGACTGTTTCCAAGATAGGGTCACTTGGGTGATATGGATTGACACCTGTCCTCAGAGACCATGGATACACACAGACACAGAGCAGAATAGAGACTGTCTCCAAGATAGGGTCACTTGGCAGACATGGATTGACACCTGTCCTCAGAGCCCCTGATACACACTGACACAGAGCAGAATAGAGACTGTTCCTCCTACATAGGGTCACTTCGCAGATAAGGATTGACACCTGTCCTCAGAGACCATGATATACACTGACACAGAGCAGAATAGAGACTGTTCTCCCACATAGGGTCACTTGGCAGATATGGATTGACACCTGTCCTCAGAGATCATGATACACACTGACACAGAGCAGAATAGAGACTGTTTCCCCTACATAGGTCACTTGGCAGATATGGATTGAC